ACCTTCACTAATATGTGCGTTATTATTATTATTGCACACTTTAACCCAGTACATTTATTTTTATACATATTACTTGGTATTGCACGGGATGCGGGTGGTGCTGTGGGTTAAACCACAAAGCCTAGGGCTTGCCAGTCAAAAGGTTGGCGGTTCGAATCCCCGTGACAGGGTGAGCTCCCGTTGCTCTGTCCCTGCTCCTGCCAACCTAGCAGTTCAGAAGCACAAAGTGCAAGTAGATAAATAGGTATCACTCTGGTGGGAAGGTAAACAGCATTTCCGTGCGCTGCTCTGGTTCGCCAGAAGCAGCTCAGTCATGCTGGCCACATGACCCGGAAGCTGTACGCTGGCTCCCTCGGCCAATAAAGCAAGAACAGCACTGCAACCCCAGAGTCGGCCACGACTGGACCTAATGGTCAGGGGTCCCTTTACCTTTACCTTACTTGGCATTGCAACATTTGGAAAAGTGCAAATTTCAAACGATGGCTGCCTTTGGGTTCTCATACTGTTTTGAAGAAGGTGAATTTTGTAGACTGAACTTCAGGGTGAACTTTATCAAATCCACACTCCATCCCTAGCTGATGGGATTGGTTAAGTCACCCGGGGACAGGGCTGTTGACTCGGAGCCAGGAGTCGGAACACGCTACAACTGGGAAGGCAAATATTGTGAAGGCGAAAATCCTAGTCTAAACTCCTAAAGTGGAAGCTCCTAAACTACAACTAATGGCCAACCTGAGATGTATAATTCAATCAGTGTTGAAGTAGGATTCTGCTACCAATCTGGTCAGCTTTGGTGTGTGGAAAGGGGATTGGGGACCCCACCTTATCCTTCAAGTCTGTCAGCAAAATGGCTTGAGAATTTCTCACTGGTATTTTGAACAGCCAGGAGATTTTGCTCTTGCTTGCTATGGAGCCAGCTCTGGCTGAGTGGGAGCCAGCTCTGACAGCTGGTCAATTTAGCACTATTAAATCAATTAAAACAGGTTGGCTTATACATTGTCTGTTTAATACTTTGTAAAAAAAGAAAGAAAGAAAAAGAAAAGGTAATGCCAAATGCACTGCATTTTAGGCAATCAAATTTTGTTTGTTCTGCATGTGTGCACACTGGTGCATGGGCAGAAAGACAGGAAGTTTGTTTTGTGCAAACGTGCTCACTTTTTTCTAAAACACATAGGCTGGGAAATATTGGATTGTTTTCGTGATTAGAATGCTAGCACTTCTGTCCTGTTTCGTAATGTTCCTTTCATACTTTGGTACCTGTTGCTTTATAGAACTGTGTTTTCCCCCCCTGCAATACAGGCATGTTGTGCCAAATTTAATTAATAGAATCACAGAATTGGAACGGTAGGGATGGATGGATGTAGGCACCCCAGTTTAAGGAGGATATTGGCAAGCTGGAGCGTGTGCAGAGGAAGGCAACCAAGACGATCAAGGGTCTGGAAACTAAGCCTTACGAGAAACGGCTGAGGGTGCTGGGTATGTTTAGCCTAGGTTTACCAGACATTCCCAGGGACAGTCCCCAGATTTGCAAATCTGTCCCCAGACAAATTCCATCCTCGGAATGTCCCCAGATTTGCAAATCTGTGCCCAGGAAACATGGCAGTGGCACCCTCAGCAGCCCGGAGCCAGCCTGGTAGTGCAGTTGGCTCTGGCTGGCTTCAGGATCTGCTTGCCGGAAGTCCCCATATGATGTGAGGACTTCTGGAGAGGAAAAATGGCAGGCTCCATGGCAGTGAGCAGCAAGCAGTTCCTGAAGCCAGCCAGAGCTAACTGTGCTACCAGGTTGGCTCCAGGCTACTGACTGCCGCTGCCACTGCCGAAGGGGAACCAGGGACATCTGGTGGTACAGATCTCCCGCCCCCTTTCCCTTTTGTTTTGATTGATCGGGAGAGGCTCAGGAGTCACAGGTGTGTGGCGTGCCATTGTCCAGTGTTTAGAACATTTATGCACATTTATGTTTCACAGGGTGCAAAAGAAGGGCTTTGCACTTTGCCTGGCAGAGAAACTGCATGCCTTGAGCCCCTCCTGGGCAACGGCCGCCCACCCGTGACTCTGGAGCCTCCCCTGAGGAGGAGTCACGGGTGGATGGCGCGCCATTGCCCAGTTTATAAAAAACTCTGCGTACAGTGGTGCCTCGCAAGACGAAATTAATTCGTTCTGTGAGTTTTTTCGTCTTGCGGTTTTTTTCGTCTTGCGAAGCACGGTGTCGGAAAAGCTTTGGAAAAGCTTCAAAAATCACCAAAGTCCTCAAAAACCTCAAAAAAGGCTACCACACCGCGTGCTATGAGTTGCTCCTTGAAGTCAAGTCGCAACTGTATTAACGGTTTTAAGAAAAAGGAAACAAACTTGCAAGACGTTTCCCTCTTGTGAAGCAAGCCCATAGGGAAAATTGTCTTGCGAAGCAACTCAAAAAACCAAAAACCCTTTCGTTTTGCGAGTTTTCCGTCTTGCGAGGCATTCGACTTGCGAGGTACCACTGTATTTATGTTTCACAGGGTGCGAAAGAAGGGCTTTGCACCTTTATACAATATGCATGTGTGCTTGGGCCCAGGGTCTTTTGCCTCACCATCCCCACTACTGACTCCCTGTTGCTACTCAGCTTCAAAAAAAAAAAAAATTGTCCCCGGATTCATTGAAAAAAATCTGGTAACCATAGTTTAGCCTGGAAAAGAGGAGACCAAGAGGAGATATGATAGCCATCTTCAAATATCTCAAGGGTTGTCACATGGAGGATGGAGGAAGCTTGTTTTCTCCTGTTCTGGAGGTCAGGACTCGAAGTTACAAGTTACAAGAAAGGAGATTCTGACGAAACATCAAGAAAAACTTTCTGGCAGTAAGAGCTGTTCGACAGTGGAACGGACTCCCTCGGGAGGTTGTGGACTCTCCTTCCTTGGAGGTTTTTAAGCAAAGGTTGGATGGCCATCTGTTAGGGATTATTAAACTGTGATTCCATCATTTCAGGGGGTTGGACTAGATGGCCCTTGAGGGGTACCTTCCAACTCTACAATTCTATCATTGATTGATTGATTGATTGATTGATTGACATATGCCATTTTCCCCACAATGAGCTGTATCTAAGTGGCTTAGAGTAAACATTCAAAGCATCAAAATACAGAACATTGGAAATACCAAATGTACAAAATACAGAAAATTGTCAGTAAATTCAAAAAATGTCAGTAAATTCAATGACAAAAACTAGCAAATTGGTAAACACAGAATAAATTTGATATTGTATAGGGTTTCAATTTTGTTGCAAAAAGAGAGTTTTTGAACTATTTCTATTGAAATTTGCCAAAACCCACACTTCTGACATGGGCTGCCTTTTGTCTGAATTTTCCTGGACATTTCAGAGATTTCCTCCCAGATGCTGTTTACCAGGGCCAAATGCCATCTATGTCTGGGAAATTGCAGATGTATGGTAACCCTATCAAAAACAACAATCTAGGCTTAAGTGCAATGACAAACCTAGACAGCATCTTAAAAAGTAGAGACATCACCTTGCCAACAAAGGTCCGTATAGTAAAAGCTATGGTTTTCCCAGTAGTGATGTATGGAAGTGAGAGCTGGACCATAAAGAAGCCTGATCGACGAAGAATTGATGCTTTTGAATTATGGTCCTGGAGGAGACTCTTGAGAGTCCCATGGTCTGCAAGAAGATCAAACCTATCCATTCTGAAGGAAATCAGCCCTGAGTGCTCACTGGAAGGACAGATCCTGAAGCTGAGGCTCCAATACTTTGGCCCTGATGTTGGGAAAGATGGAGGGCACAAGGAGAAGGGGACGACAGAGGACGAGATGTTTGGACAGTGTTATCGAAGCTGCTAACATGAGTTTGGTCAAACTGCGGGAGGCAGTGGAAGACAGGAGTGCCTGGCATGCTCTGGTCCATGGGGTCACAAAGAGTCGGACACGACTAAACGACTAAACAACAACAACAGGCTTAAGTGCATAAGTACATAGCAAAACAAGGGTTTCTGGTACTGGTGACAAGTTTCTGGTACTGGTGTTTGTGCAGTCGAAGGAGTCTGGTTTAAATACAGTACACAGGGGAAGGAACCTCTCACTAGGCTAGATGACATATGGCGGGCTCCTATACCCTTACCCCAGAAGATGGTAACAGCGGCAAAATACAAATAGGGCAATGATGGCCAGTCTATTCCCCAGCTTCCTGGAAGTACCAGCTGCTGGTTCAGGTCTTATTGAACTTCTGTGCATATGGTGGATGAGAGAAGTTGTGCACTCACAGACTCTTGTGTGCCCATGGAGACAGTTCTGGAACTAGAGCCGTATTCCAAAGAGAACAGAAGACAATGCAATCGCCAGATTATTGCCGAAGATACAATTGTACAAACAGGGCAAAGGGAAGCAAAAGCAATTTTGCTGTTCATTTAAATTATACTATGCATTGAAGATGATAAAGTATATGTTCCATTATCTTTGCGCAGTACTATAAATGATTCATTATCAGTTTAATTAGCTCTGCAACAATGATATTATTATCTGTACAAAAAAATCTCCATGTGTGCTCCATTTGTACCGCATCTGCTAACAACAGACAGCTATTATGCTAGACAAAGGCATCCAATTGATGCCGCTGAAACGGCTCCCATACATCTCAATGGAGCTGGACAGCACCCAAAACTGGCAAACATAATGCTGATATAACAGGCAGAAGTTCTTAAACCGCCGACAAGTAATCTTATCATGAAGTTGCAGAGGGCCAGGCATCTGGGTAAAATTTGCTGGCAGTGTTATGGAGCAAACCATGAGCACATGGGCTGAATCCACCCAAGTTCTCCTGTTTGTGCAAAGACTTGAGCAAATTTGTTCTAGGGTTTACCTCCAGAGCAGACTCGGGGGAGCAAAGGGAGAGGAGAGGGAGGGGAAGTTGCATTGTTCAGGCAGAAGAACTTGCACAAATGGTGTGACTTTCTTGGATACCATCATAGATAGATAGACAGACAGACGACAGAAAGCAACAGATATTCAAATAAAAAATATTTTGCCCAGCATGGGGTTTGAACCTGCGACCCCGAGATTAAGAGGCTCGTGCTCTACTGACTGAGCTATCCCAGATGGTTATGAGAACAGGATGCTGGGTTAGGTGGGCCATTGATGCAGAAACACTCTTCTTATGTACTCACAGCTCATTGGGAGAAGCTTTCAGGAGGGTAGGAAAGCGCGTTTAGGTGGGTGGAAGATGTTAAATTTCCTTGCTCCCTATCCTGTGGTATATGGCTCTTGTTCTAGGCTGGCTGGAGTCCCTGAAAGGAGTACAGTGGTACCTTGGGTTAAGAACTTAATTCGTTCTGGAGGTCTGTTGTTAACCTAAAACTATTCTTAACCTGAGACACCACTTTAGCTAATGGGGCCTCCTGCTGCCGCCGCGCCGCCGGAGCACGATTTCTGTTCTCATCCTGAAGCAAAGTTCTTAACCCGAGGTACTATTTCTGGGTTAGCGGAGTCTGTAACCTGAAGCATCTGTAACCCGAGGTATGACTGTACAGTAGTAACTTGGGTTACAGATGCTTCAGGTTGCGTTTTTTTGGGTTACGGCCCTGCCTACACTGTACTTTTGTTAGCAGCTAGTGACGCCTCGTGGGTCCCTACCTGCATGGAGTTATGTGCCACAAAGCTGGTATGAAATTGGTGGGCATGGCAAGCAGTAGCCCATTTTCCAAATTGTGCCCACTCCCCCCCCCCCCAGGGCTTCTCTTAAAATGTAAGGGGACCACTGACCGTTAGGTCCAGTCGTGGCCGACTCTGGGGTTGCGGCGCTCATCTCACTTTATTGACCGAGGGAGTTGGCGTACAGCTTCTGGGTCATGTGGCCAGCATGACTAAGCCGCTTCTGGCGAACCAGAGCAGTGCATGGAAATGCCATTTACCTTCCCGCTGGAGCGGTACCTATTTATCTACTTGCACTTTGACGTGCTTTCGAACTGCTAGGTTGGCAGGAGCAGGGACCGAGCAACGGGAGCTCACCCCGTCGCGGGGATTCGAACCGCCGACCTTCTGATCGGCAAGTCCTAGGGTCTGTGGTTTAACCCACAGCGCCACCCGTGTCCCTCGGGCTTCCCTTACCCAGGCATAATTGTTTGGGTTTTCTTAAAGATGCTGCACTCAGGGTTGTGCACCAGAATAATAATAATAATATTATTAATAATAATAATAATATATAATTTATTATTTATACCCCACCCATCTGGCTGAGTTTCCCCAGCCACTCTGGGCGGCTCCCAATCAGTGTTAAAAACAGTACAGCGTTACATATTAAAAACTTCCCTGAACAGGGCTGCCTGATCAGAATCACCAAAAACCTGAGTCCTAAACTGAATTGGTGTGATTCAGGGCTTGGGGGTCAGGTCGCCGTGTGAGCCTGGTTGAGACAGTCCTAGACTGCTGTGGGTCAGGTTGTGCACAGCCCTAACTATCGTCGCAAATGAAAGCCAAGCAAATTCAAGTCTCTCACTCTTTGAAATAAATAAATAAACTTCTTCTGCGTGAAACATTTCTGCCAGAGGAACATTTCTCCTCCTTCTTTTTTTAAACAAATATCCTTTCAAATAGGAGTTTTCCAAGAGGCTCAGCAAGTTTAAAAATATTTTTGCATACACATTTGTATCAGCTTGGTAACCAAAGAAACATCTGCGTTGTAGCGCGATCCATCTGTCTTTAATAATAGCTGTGCCTTTTTCTAATTGTTTTAATTTACATGCAAGGCAGCTAGAACATATCAATGGGAGGAAACCAGATTATAAAATATTGCTGGATCCACTGTTTAGAATTTATTACTAAAATGAGACTTCGAAGCGAAGAGGTATGTATGGGGTGGTAGAATCTACACCACTGGGGTGAAATATAACATGCATTACATTTCTTTAAAATGTACTGCATATCCCTGCCCCAACTACCAAAGCTAGCCAGCAGTCAAAACAGTCTTATTCAGGCTAAAGTCCCAGGCACATTGACTTCCTTCCTTCCTTCCTTCCTTCCTTCCTTCCTTCCTTCCTTCTTAAAATACATTTTTATTAATTTTAACATACAAATTATAAAACGTACTACACAAATTATTACAAATACCCTTTTTTTTTGGACTTCCATTTTTTTTGGACTATGTAGTGGGGAAGAGAACTGTCCTTTGCCTTAACAATTAAAACACAACATTAAAGCAGTTTTTAAAAAACTTAGAATCATGGAAATGATATGGTTCCTAAAAACCATACAGCTCAGGTGTCAAAAACCAGGGTAGAAGAGTTGCATCTCCAGCATTAGCCAGAAACTGTATAATGAAGGTTCCTCTTAGGGGCTGCCATGGAGAATGCCCTTCAACCCTCTGAGACTGGAGAAACTGCCAAGAGGGCCTCCTCTGCCAATCTTATTGCCTGAGGTGGACTGTAGGGATGGAGGCAGTCTTCAGATTTGGGTGCCTGAAACATCTAGGGCTTTTAAAAAAATAAATTTATTATGGAATTTCAACATAACAACTTATCCAACCGTATCATCACATTCATATTTTCCCCCCTTTTTTCCCACCCCCCTTTCCATCCATCCCTCCCCCCCCCCAACCAGGGACTTCCCTCAGCTCCTCTTTCTGATTTCTCTGCACATATTATTCTCTGCATGTTATAGAATTATACATATCCTTGTGTTGTCTATATATCATGTTATCAACCAATAAATTTGTGTGTGTTTATTCAAAACCTGCCAAGGAGTCCAGTTCATTTTTTTGTCTTTTTTAGATAATTTGTAAAAAGTTCCCATTCTTAAAGTCACAGTTGTCCTTGTCCCGCGGTTTGTATGTCAATTTAGCCAGTTCTGCATAGCTCATCAATTTTTCTTGCCACTGTTCTTTCATTGGGATTTCCTCATTCTTCCATCCTTGTGCTATCAAGACTCTTGTCGCTGTTGTAGCGTACATAAATGAAACATCTAGGGCTTTAAACACTAATGTGAACACCTTGTGTCGATCCCAGAACTAAGCCGGCAACCAGCAGATGTAGAACCACCTTTGCGTGACAATGTTGCTGCTGTAGCTTGTGTGTGTTGGAAACACGCCCAGGAAGGCCGCCAACTTCTCAAGACACTGGGACATCTCTCCGGTGGTCCTCCCTGGCTGTAAATCTCCCTCATTCCAGAGAGACCGGTGATAAGTGACCCCTCCCTCCTGAGAGGCGCACACTCTTCTTCTGGTATATCATAGCAGGAGAAAGAGTCAATCAGTAGCTCTAAACTACTTTATTTTACATCTATATACAGAGAATCCATCAGCATGTCTGTGCTCTTTGAGCACCAGTACAGAACAACAACACACGCAGAAGTGAAACTAAATTCCAACAGTACTCCAACAGTACTGAGACTTCCTGTCTCATGCTCTCTCAGACACTCACATGATATACACAAACATAGTGCTACTGTTGGAACAGCATGGATGGATAAAAATCCTAACAGTGTGGACGGGGGCAAGATGGGGCACAGTGGCAGTGAGGTTAGGCTGGGTGGGGGCACAGGAGGAGTCAGTTGGGCACTTCTGTTAGGAAACCATTCTTTAAGAAATAAATAAATGTTCCTGGAAACTTTAAAGAGGGTTCCAGAATTTTCTTTCTGGCACTCTAGGTTTGATTGGTGTCAGCTGGAGGTGCAAATAAAGGAAGGATGTTGCAGGCTGCAATTTCCACACGAGGAAAGCACACACACATACACACACACTTACATATGCTGTCAGCACACATGCTGACAACAAGGTTGAAAGTAAGATCATGTGTGCTGCTGATGTGTCAGCATTGTTAATTACTGGACTGAGATTATACCATGTTGGAGAGATAAAGAAGGAATGTAAATAGCTTGTATAGAATAGTAACAGAAATGCTTGTGCAACCAAGTCAAGTAACAAAGAAGCTCTTGACTGTGAATTTGAGTATGACTCCTGTTCTTGTCCTCTGCCTCCGGGGAAAACTCTGCTACAAACAGTAAGAAGTAGTTTTACCGAGGTGCCACCACACAAGCAGAAAAGCGCACCGGAAGTGTGTGGGCGGTAACCTCTAATAACTTCTGCTGGTTTGCTACACAGCTGTGACCTCACCACCCAGCCCTGCCCTGCCTCACTCCTGTCCCGGTCACCTCTACAGGAATGCTGGTGATGAGACACTGGCTCTGAGTATTTGTGCATGTACCACTACTCTGTATTTTGGTTCCTCACTCGCACCAGGTTGTATCCACTTAAATATTCATTTGTATTTCAAATCCAAAGTGAAACATGCATTCTTGGTTCAGTGTAACACCAAGGGGAGGGTTGTTGCTCCATGGTGGAATGTTTGCTTTGCATGAGTTATATATGCACCGGCATCTAGAAGCATTGAAATGTTTTCTTCAACTGTATACAGCATTTTTTCTAACATATATGGCCACTGAGAGTAGAGAGGAGGAGGAGGAGGAGGAGCTTGGATTTGATATCCAGCTGTATCACTACCCTAAGGAGTGGCGCTGTGGGTTAAACCACAGAGCCTAGGGCTTGCCGATTAGAAGGTCGGTGGTTTGAATCCCCATGACGGGGTGAGCTCCCGTTGCTCGGTCCCTGCTCCTGCCAACCTAGTAGTTCGAAAGCACTTCAAAGTGCAAGTAGATAAATAGGTACTGCTCCAGCGGGAAGGTAAACGGCGTTTCCGTGTGCTGCTCTGGTTCGCCAGAAGCAGCTTAGTCATGCTGGCCACATGACCCGGAAGCTGTACGCCGGCTCCCTCAGCCAATAAAGCGAGATGAGCGCCGCAACCCCAGAGTCATCTGCGACTGGACCTAACCGTCAGGGGTCCCTTTACCTTTAAGGAGTCTCAAAGCGGCTAACAATCTCCTTTCCCTTCCTCCCCCACAACAAACACTCTGAGGTGAGTGAGGCTGAGAGACTTCAGAGAAGTGTGACTAGCCCAAGGTATGATATGGACTAAATTCAGTAATATGTTTCAGTGGATCAGTTTCGGCTTGTGCTATGATCCCATTTATCAAATGTACACCAGCTTCCTAATGTTAAGCTATCATGTTCTTCTCTTCATTAACCTCTTTGCATCTCCAAATAATGCACGG